GTCAAGGCTCAAGCACATAGTGGGGAGAATGGGAAGTGGGAATTGATTGAGTTAAGGAGTTCAATGAACCCAGTTCGGGATCATAGACAGCAATATTGGGGTGCTGCTATGCCCTGAACAATAAACTCACATACAAATGGGTAAAAGGGGTAAGGGAATTCATAAAGCATCATATTCACAACAAACAAACAACTGCACAGATTATTTAAATGGTGGACTGTAAGAGAAGGGGAAACACGTTATAATATGCTAGAAAACATGTGGACAGAATTAAACACATTGTTCTTAGGGCGTATAAACTAATTGAAACATACCGGTATAGAAGTAAAGAATGCAGAAGAAAGCGAGCAAAGTCCACAGCAGTGTGAGTATCAGAAAGAGAGAGTGAAAGGGAATTGTAAACTCAGATGGTATTCTGTGTTCGTGTGTGTTCAAAGAAAAGGGAGGAGAGTATTTATAGCTTTGAAACATGTAGAGAAATAAGGTAACAAGTAAAAGTCTATCACAAATATGGCATGGTCACAAATCAGAATCAAATTAGTATAAGACTCTCCTTTAATCAGGGGATTCTTATTCAAATGGATACTAACAGGATTTAAATAAGGAAAGGGAAAATAAGCCTTGTAAATAGAATGGTTGTTGCCATAAGAGAAGCAGTAAGGTAATACAATGGGCAATTAAGTCTAAGTACAAGGTTTGAAATTATTTTTGGAAAGATTCAGGGAGGCCAATCAAGGAAAAGAATCAATTACTTCTTAACAGGCGAGTAAAAATCAGCATTTCACAAAGGAAAAGTTTTGAAAATTGATCACAAGTTTTGAGAATCAATCACAGAAGGAACTCAGTATATATAAATGAATGCACAGGTAATAGACACGTGAAGCCAAGTTATGGCAAAATAACAGCATATAGTAGTAACCAAAAGAAGACATTCGAAGCATGATGGTCAAGTTTCAGTGTTTTAACAATAAAGAAGAAGATCAGAAGCATGCAAAGAACTCAGAACCAAAATAGTTAAGAGAATTGAAGCATACTGCAATTTCAACTGACGAGTTGCACAAACAACTTCAAAGAAATTGAATAATCCCCAAAGAGATTAGGGTTTTCAAAAATCAATCGAATTTAGAGGAGATAAGCAGATAAACAAATAAACAGGTTCAGAACCTCGGATAAGCCCAAAATTAGGGTTTTCAACATGCTAACTCAGATAAAAATAAGGCAAATCAAGCGACCATTAAGAAACAGACCAAGAAAATCAAACAAAATCCCCAAGAAAATTAGGGTTTTCAACATGCTAATATAACACAAACAAAACACAGTAAAACATGTCGAGAATCAGAGAAGAGATTTGGAAATAACTTGACATGAACCCTAAAAGAATTTCTGAAAGCAAAAATTAAGAATCTTCAAGAAAAACGCATAGAAGGTTCACACACACATAGATCCAGGACGGATCTAAAATAAATCGAAGGAACCTTAGAGATTAGGATTTCGTAAGAAACCCAGGTGACGAGATAGGCTTTGGAAACCATTGATCTGAGCAGAGAAGTTGAAGGTCGAACTCGAATAGCCACGACTGGCTGGACAAAGGTTGAAGACGACCAGAGAATAGTCATCGAACAAAGGCTTGGTCAGAACCCTTCAAGATCTAGTCATTGGACCTTTAGAAGCGAGCACACAGAAGCCATGGGAGGCTAGTGTAGGCCTCCGATGAGCCTGAGAAGCCATAGGTTAGGGTTTCGAGGAGAGGAGGCGGCTAGGGTTTGGGGTAAGTTGAGAGAGAGTTGAGAGAGGAGAGGATTCAGAGGCGGCGGTCGAGAAAAAATGAGGTAGGGCTTTAGGGTCTTTTGAATTAAAAAAGGAAAGGGAAGAGGAGAGCCGTTGATCTAAAGGATCAACGGCTGGGATTAAACGGGTTAAATGGGGAGCGAGTTTGGGTATGATAGAAAGGGTATGGGTCGGGTAGACGTGTTAATTGGGCTGGATAATTGGGTTTTTAAATTGGGGCTGAGATGGAGCGCCAAATTGGCTAAAATTGAAATGCAATAAGGCCAAATTGTAAATAGCCAATTTTCCCCTTTTAATTTTATAAAAATGGTAATACTGATTTTAAAAACAAATTAAATGTACTGGATAAATAAGTATTATATAAATATTAATTAAAAAAATGCTGGGACTAATTATATAAACGTAAAATGTCATAAATCACAAGATGGGCTATAATTGCAATTACATGCAATTTAGCTTTAAAAATACCAAACAAATTTGTAAAAATATACAAAAAATACCTTAATTATATTTGGTGTAAATATGAGAATAAAATAAGTTATTCACAAAAAAATGATAATTTTGGGAATAATTATTGGATTTTGTACTGTTAAAATAGACAATAAATTGATTTAAAATAAGAAAAAATACCAAAACTCTTGGGAATGCTTATATATGCATGTATCTGCTATTTTGAGGATATTTTGAGTACATAAAAATACTTATGGAAAAATTGGGTATCAACAGGCACTTCACCTTTGGGCCGAGCTTCTCTAGTGCGTACACTATTTCTGAAGAGGAAACACAAAAAATTGTGAGCAGATAAGAGTGGAGGCATACCTCGTTCGTTCCGCTGAGTCCTTGTATGCGGCCTGAACGGCCCTTCTGCATGGCGAGGAGATGGTGGAATGGCTGTTCTGACATAAGGTTGATGCCTGTCTCAATTGAGGCGTGGGCCTGACTGGTCTCTTCGACTGTCATTACGACGGTCTTTCCTTGGCTCTGTTTGGACCGACGTTAACCGTTGGATTGGACCGTTAAGGTCATCTTCGTCTGCCCTCACCTCGGCGCAATAGGCGTAATGAATTTCTTCCCAGGTGGTGGGAGGGTATTTCATGAGTGTGCTTAATAGTTTTCTTGTCGCTCATGACCCATTCCTGCTCAACCCATTTTGGAAAGCTGTCACCGCCATTCCTTCTGATACATTGGTAAGCTCATTCTTACCCTGTTAAACCGAGCTAAAAAGCCCCTTAGTCCTTCGCTAGGCAGTTGCCTAACGACGAATATATCATTTACTCCGGCTTCCGCCTTCTTAGCCCCGGCGTGGGCGGTGACGAACTTGTCGGCCATTTCTTCAAACGTTGTTATAGATCGTGCTGGTAACTGTGAGTACCAGGTTAAGGCTCCCCCGGTTAAGGTCTCGCCAAACTTTTTCAGTAACACTAATGGTACTTGCTCCTTTGAGAGGTCGTCGCCCTTTACTGTTGTAACGTAGTGAATGATGTGATCTTCGGGATCTGTTGTGCCATCATATATCTTCAAACGGTGGCATCTTGAAGGTTTTGGGTATGGCATGTGGGGTTGCGTCCTCGTTGTATGGTTGTTCGACGAATCGGCCGACATCCCATTTTGGCAGCAGTTTTGGGGCACCCGGTATCTTATCGACCCTTTCTTGATGTTCCCTCATCTGATCACGGAGTTCTTTGTTCTTGTTTTTCATTTCTTCTATTTTCCTCAGAATGGCTGCAAGTGCACCGTTACCTGCGTCAACAGCGGTGTGAGTGTTACCTGTTGGGGAGCGGGTTGCTCGTTGCCGATCGTTGTGATATCCGTCTGTAAGACGTTTCTAGTCGCCCGTTGAGCGAGTTTGTCGAGTATGTCGCTTAGAGTGCTTGTCAGCCACGTCTCCGGTAGTTTTTTTTATTACTGGTGGTGCTTCCTCAGCTGTGGATGTGGAGGCTCCCCTTTCACGTGAAGCGGTTACACTTCCATGAGGAGGAGGTGAATCACTCCGCCTGGGTGTGGCACTCGGCGTCACATTCTCCTTGTCTCCTCTGCCATCCTCGTTGATGGTGTTTAAGATGTTGGTGGTGACACCCACTAGTGCTTTCTGTCTTTCATCTCCTTTCCCTGCCATTGTTAGTTTGTGTAGACGAGAAAAAGATGGCTATTCTTCTTTATAATCTAGAAGAAACTAAAAATTTTAACTAAAAAACTCCCCACAGACGGCGCCAAATTGTTTGACCAAAAAGTGTTAAGCCTTTTGTTAAACTAATTAATGAAGAAATGAAGGGTGAATCTTAGTTAAATATAATAAATTCTAGATCAAATATTGTAGAATATTGGTAAGATGAACGGTGTTTGAGAGCAGTAAATAGCAGATTTATACTCAATGACTATCAATAAATATTATAATATGAACATGCAATAAATATAGATAATGACAATAAATGTAATAAGAAAGAATCCACCACCCAATTATTATATGATTTGGGTGGTTCTTTCTCCTGACAGCAACGTGGAAAGATGAGAAGTGAAGATGGATAAGGAATCTTTGGATCTTGTGAACAAAGGTTAAACAACGTGTGCTTGGATAAGATAATCCGTGAACAAGACCACTTTTGTATATTCTTTCTAGCCAACCTTACTGTGCTCTTATCAAAAAGTGAAGATTCCCTTTTTGTTCTCTATCTCTTCCTATTTATAAGGGATATTGCCAAGAAACCCTAAAAATTACAAAATAAGAAATATTCAAAGGAATATTCCTTGTGTCCATTTCTAAACCCATGCTACCGTTATTTCTTTACTCCAGTTGCTCGTCCTTGACAATAGTCCTTCTGAGGACGGCTTCCCGCTATTACGCCGTGGTCGACTCCGTCCTCGATCCTGTTTATCTACCGTTACCAAGTCACCAAAATTAGACTAATACACTATACAGTATAATTTTCTGACGAATTGATATCGGTTGACACCCCTTGGGTCCATGTGGCTCCGCCACTGTGAGTTAGAAGTTAAAATTTTATCACTTGCAAGAGATCATGTATATTTCAACGTAAAGTTGGTAGAAAAAACAAAAATAGGATGTAAATTGCAAAATAGGACAAACGTTTGGGCAAGAAAATACAAAAATGCCACCAAAACATAAATAAATTAAAGCTGGAATATTAATAAAGCTTCCTAGGGACTTTTGTGTCCAGTAGGAAAATAGACTAAATCAGAAACGATGGGGAACATGAGACAATTTTCTTCTTTCTTATTACAAGATTATTAGCGTCATTTACATTAAATCATAAGCACCAAAGATGCAAGGAAACTTAAAACATAATGGATAACAAGAGAAGGGAAACGAAAGAATGATTATCGACCTTTTCACAAACTGCCACTAGTTCGAGTAGGCAGGTGGGGTGTTACAACTTGCACCTTTATTATATGTACAGGCTAAGGCAGTCACATTAACAGGATATTCAATTCAATTTGTAAGAACGATGACATATAAAAATATTACTTGTCCTCAACTTAAGTACCGAGCATTTTTGGCCATTAGCCCGCTTGATAACAGTTCTACACCTTATTCTTAGTTTGGGGAGGGGCAAAGAATGTTAACAAGATTTCCCAGCTGAGCCAAACAGACGCATCTTTTCAGCAATCACTGCTTTCATGGCTTCTTTTGCAGAAGCCATGACATGGACGAGATCCTTCTTCGGGCTACTCAATGCATCCATATACGCCTTGCGCACTTCAGTGTTTACGTTGAACTTTCTGACACCTAGCTTTATACATTCCTGTTCATTACACAGAGAGCAAAATGAAAATTAATATAGATTACAGTAAAAAGAACATTTTCACTTGTAACTTATCTACCAATATGAAATCTTCAAAAGTAGTGATAACTGAATTAAGTGTTGAAATGAAAGAGCGCATGAGGTTTAGTTGTATTCCTGCATTGCTTGAGGAGTCTCAAATAATGTAAAGGGCCATCCCAGACCCCAGACTACCACCTTATACTTAACTTGTTAAGACACTAATTAGGGGCGGATACACATATAAGCTATTGATTTAGTCGAACCCAATAGCGTTGGCTCAGACCCTGTATATGTGTTGAGAAATCTACTAAACTTGTACAATAATTAAATTTCGAATCCAATAACTTAAATGTTTACTGGCATCCTGAACTCATAAAGTTCAAATCGTGGATCCGCCTGGGACATTAATGATTAGACATTCAACACCAAGAGATGATCACCCCTTTCAAATCAAGTTGCCTCACCATGTAAGGAATTCTAGTTCCATCCTTATGCTAAGTTTTCAAAGTATGTGTTCTGGTTGGACTCGGTGGCATTTATGGGTCATGTTGTGTCCAGCGAGGATATCAAGGTTGATCCTAACAAGATTAAGGCAGTTCAAAATTCGCCTAGACCTAGTTCAGCTATAGAGATTCGGAGTTTCTTAGATTTGGCGGGCTACTATTGTCGCTTTGTTGAGGGGCTTTCATCTATTGCAGACCCATTGACCAAGTTGACTCAGAAAGGGTTCTCCTTTCAGATGGTCTGATGAATGTGAAGAGAGCTATCGGAAGCTAAAGTTTGTAACTACGGCTCCAATGTTGGTGTTGCCCACAAGTTCGAAGCCTTATACTGTGTATTGTGATACTTCGCGCATTGGGCTTGGTGCATTTTTTATGTAGGGTGGTAGGGTGATTGCCTACGCATCTCGCTAGTTGAAGATCCATGAGAAGAATTATCATGTTCATCCTTTGGAGTTGACAGCTATTGTGTACGTGCTCAACATTTTGAGGCACTACTTGTATAACGTGTCATGTGCGGTCTACACTGATTATTAGAGTGCCAACATTTGTTCAAGCAAAAGGATTTGAATTTGAGGCAGCGGAGATGGTTGGATTTGTTGAAAGACTACAATATCACTATATTGTATCACCCGGTGAAGGCTAAAGTGGTGGTTGACGACTTGAGCAGGACGACAGAGTAGTTTGACATTTATTTGAATTCGGGAGAGAATGGGAGATCGGGATTTGGTCTTAATTTCAAATTTCAAACATGCAGGTGCAGCTGGGTAAATGGGAAGGGTTTCGTGTTTTAGCTCATTTTCTTCCATTTTTGAGATCTAGACTTCGTGTAGAGCCAACTTTAAAGAGATTTTTATCCCAACTTCATAGGTTGATAACTTTAACTTGTTTTTGATTAATTTCTATTACTTTCCATGGATTTTCATCCCTAAATCTAAGTTTTCATAGAGTAGAAATAGGATTTTGGGTAGAACTTAAGATTTTTGCATTTTAGAGATATAGACCCCGAATTGATGTCGGATCTCGAAACAAATCACATATTTGAACTCGGGATTCGGGAGAGAATGTGTAATCAAGATTTGGTTTTAATTTCAGATTTCAACCATGCAGGCCCGGTTTGACATTTTGTTGACTATTCCAAATATGTTAAAGATCGAACTTTTTTGATGCTAGCATAGTTTCTAAAGCTTGTTTTAATTTATTTGAACATTATTTAACTAGATTCAAGTTGTTCAGAGGCTTGTGCTAAAAGAAAAGCTATGTTGGATGGTTGTTGGAAGAGGTAAGTATCGTGGTTAACCTTGATTGAGGGAATTAGGATGTTATTGGGTCTATTTGCTACATGAATTATGTGTTGGGACGACGTATGCAAGGTAACGAGTATATGTACGTTGTCATGGGTCAAAGCGTGAAGGTAGAACTAGTTTATTTTATGTTTTACTTATTACATCCGTGCCTTCATCTAATTGCATATTTTACTTGTTTCATGCCTTACTTGTCAGATGTTTTACTTGCTACATGATTTTACTTGTTCATGCTTGTACTTAATAAATGCCTTTACTAGGACATGACTATAGTCGTTTCAACCATACTTGTTTCATGTCTTATTTTCCTTATGTTAGGATTGCGCGATAATTTGATCGTTTGCGTGTTAATAATCCTGTTTGGATCCTTATAGCATTACATGAGTAATATTGGCTCTAAAATTTGGAATTTTTCATTACTTCTTGTTCATGTCCATCATTTCCTTAGTAAATTATGCTTATTTATTCGCTTCGATAGTCATGGATGTCGCTATCTTTGGATGTGTTGTTGGATGATTCTGTGCGAACTGATATGTTGGATCGTGTTGCTGCCGCAACAATGTTATGATAAGGATCGGGTTGCTCACCGCAATAATTGTATGGCCATGGGATCGAGTTGTCACCACAATGATGTTTATGTATGAGTTGGATCGGGTTTGTGCGCCACAATGTATGTGTTATGAGATGTGGGTTTCGTTTGTGATATAGACCTTCTTTATGGGTTTCGGCTGTGTTGGTTATGGATAGTGTTTCTTTCCCGTTGATTTGAACCGCTGAAAAGGGGTTTTGGTTGTGCTATTCAAGAATGTGGTTATCATTCTGATATTAGATTCTTTTACTGTTTCCGCAGTTTCCTGCCATTAATTCCTGCTATTATTACTGTTATCTCTATTTTGTTGCTTATTAACTGTATAGGTTTTTATGGTAAGTATCATGTCATAGCCTCGTCACTATTTCGTCGAGGTTAGACTCGATACTTTCTGAGTACATGGGTCGGTTATACTCATACTACACTTCTGCACTTCTTGTGCAGATTATGGTGAGGGTCCTACTATTGTTCAGAGGGGAGCAGAGGAGACTTGACGTAGTGCTACTTTCCCGTCCGCAGACTTCGGAGTCACCTTCGCCCTCGTTATTACTATTTTTCCTTGTATCAGACAATATTACATTTCATTTCAAACTATGTTTGTAGTACTCTTAGTAGCTCATGTACTTGTGACACCAAATCTGGGTTGATTAGTCAGCGTTGGTTTTAGACTTATTATGTATGTTTCTGAGTTTACTTTTATTCTATATTATCATTATGTTGTTAACCGTTAGTCTCTTTCCCTTATTTATCATTATGTGTTGGCTTGCCTGTCACGCGGTGTTAGGCGCTATCACAACCCCCGTTGGTTGGGATTTTGGTTTCGACTTCCCTCTTGCCCTTTATCTATTTCATTAAAAGGAATCAATACAAAATTCTTAGAATGTCGTATACCTCTATTATTTCCTGTGACAGCCCAGAAGCTCCGTGAAGAACAAGATGAACTCCTTTCTTTGAACACAAGCCATAGAGGTCCTGGACCCAAAAACAGGGGAGAAATAAATGAGTTAGGGTAACTTGGCAGATAGATAGCGATTCAAAACAATCTTTCAAGAGATGCTGTTTCACAAAGAGCTGATCTGTTATTTTTGTTAATATTCGTTTCCAACTGATACATGATCAAAAAGTAATCACACTTAGAGAGTGATTTGGAATCAACAGGCAAAACAAAATATGCACCATAACAGAAAAAGAAGGTTAATTTTCTGCAGAGCATGTATCAGGGGCAGAACAATTTTATAAATCAATTTCATTGCACTATAAGTTCGAAACATTGCTGCTAATCTTTTTAACATGACATGAGAAACCATAGGTCACATAAATGTTTCGCACTGTGCATAACTATGCAAGTGATCATTCTCTAATAGAGATAGCAGAAGTCGGATATATGAACCGTTGTTTTTTTTTCAAATAATTTCCTCCCTCGTGTTCTAAAATGATGGCATATTCTAATATTTCCTTGGTCAGCTAACCTGGTTAAGAAGATCGAAAGGAGTTGAAAAGAGGGAGAGAGAATAGGAATTAGACCTCCAGCAAATCAAGCCTAAGATTTGGACCGCTTGCAGGATATTTTCCATGAACATTTCCAATGCACACTGCCAAAGCATCTATGGCAGTCGCATCAATGAATTCATCTGCCTGAAAATTATATGAAATCAAGTTTGAAATTGGAGGAAAAACTTGATTTTACCCAGGGCGCAGAGGGGGGAGAGAAAGAGAGTGAGTGAGAGGACCTGATTAATATCAGTCAGCTTTGCTTCATAATCTTCTACAGTCAAATCATCTTCAGTACCTGACAATCTTCCCAATTCAGCTTCTACCAACATCTTTTTCGAGTGTGCCAATGAAGAAATGTACTTCGTATAGGAAACATTATCCTTGAAAGGAAGGTGTGACCCATCTACCATGAGTGAGTCAAATCCCTGCAGTGGTTGAATTTACGAGTTACCACACAGAAATAAGATACTTTGAGCTCATTTGTTGGGCAAAAAGTTTATTAAAGCAGAGAGCATAATAAATATGCCTCACTAGTTAGCAAATAAAACTAACCATCTCAAGAACTTCCAACAGCTCTTGCTTGGAATTTCCATGGTCAAAGTGAACTGTTATAGGTACCTGTCATTATCCATACACGGTTAATGCTTTCTAGGAGATAAGCAAGATAAAGAAAACTCAGAGGCACAATGATCACTACTCAGATCTTCCAAGTTAAATCTTCGTCCATCCAAAGAGACCTGTTTTGACATACTTATGATACTTTAGACATGACCTAATAGAAAAATAATTACTAAAAGCCTATATCTGAGCTCAAGATTTCAAACACTGAAATTGTTAATCCAATAGAATGCACATTAAGAGAGGAAACCCCTTTTTGATCACAGATTGACACCGACCCAATCTATATTATAAAGGTTACTTGATATTTTACCGCTTCAAAAGTCTTTGCAAGTTATGGAAAAAAACTACTGGACCTACTCAATTAACTCTTAAGTAAATATATTTTTCCTTTTTATGTTGTTCTATCCAATCGAAAGATTTCAGATCCCATATAATTAGCAAAGGAACGTGTTAGCTTTATTGTCCTTTAATTGATTGCTGCTGATACTGATTCTTCACCATGAAAATTATGCAAGCAGAAAACAGTCTCACTTCGTCATTGTAGTGCAAATCCATGTTTCTTGTCTAGTAGGAACAGCTGTATGCACGGCTAAATCTAGTTTAATTTTTATCCACTTTTTTGTTCTTTATTCTAAAGTTGTTAAAGTTTAGCTAAGTATCTTGAGTATCACTTACAGATGCTTGTTCTGCAGCTGATATGCAACATGCAACGAGTGGCACTCCTCCTTCCTTTAACGCACTAGGATGGACCTGGAGTATAAAAAGAGGCAAAGAATCTTTATTATAGCGCATGAAAAAGTCATTAAGTTCAATTAGGCATGCCTTCACTTGTTTTTTCATCAACATATTAAGCACTCACGATTACATAAACGAAGAGGGAAAAAGAAATGGGAAAGTGAAGAAATTCAAAGAAAGTACTTATAGAGACTGAGTGAGTAAATTAAGTCAGGTTTTATATATAAGAAAGTTAGATACTATGACGTTAGGCTTTCTAAAATAAAATACTAAAAGTGAAATAATAAAACAGACTAGTAATAAGAAAATAAGAATAAGAGGAAACACAATGTGTTTTATGTTCCCTGGTATTTAACAGTAATACAAATTTATGAAAAATGTTATCAATCTTTAGTACATGAAAAAGTGTATTCAGAAGTAGTAAATACTAGTAATGACTGAACCTGTAAGATAGCTGGACTATTTTCCTCCTCTGCTGCAGCAACTACCGCCTCAACTCCTTCCAAATTGTAGACGTTAAAAGCACCAACAGCATATCTTCCCCTCTCAGCCTCCTATTGCCGGAACAGAGAGTTTAATGCCAGATGTAAAAGGAAACGGGAAAATCATGAAGGCAAACTCATCTCACCAGCAGTAGTTCCTTAGTTGATAATCTGCCTGGATGAGCCCAGTTCTTCACTACATCTGCCAGAGCTTTACTGTCGCCAACATTACCTGATGATCACATCAATAGCTAAATATTAGGGATACAAAGTAGAGGTATTCAACAGCAAAAAGAAACCGCCATAATTACCTGGGAAGACAATATATGGAACTTCTGGATGTCTGCTCTCAGGACCAAGCTGCCATAATGGAATACCCGCAAGAGCTTGTCCCACTACTTTGGCACGTCTTGCCTCTAAAGCTTTTGTGGCAAGATCTGATGAGGTAATTCCTCCCTATGAAAGAAGAACTCACTCAATTGGTAAAAAACTACAACATTTCTGTTTATATAAATGTTTTCCAAACATGTTCAGAGAGTATGTGAAGATAACGAAGCAACATAGAGCTGTTCTGAAGCCTAAACACATGCTGTAGAGTAAAAGGGTTCAACAAAAGCAGTATGGATTCCCCTTAAACAAGTGCATCTAGGACAAAGAGGAGAAAAAAATCCTGATCACATACGGGCATAGTTCCTTTAAAAAAAATTCAAGTCTTAAAAAGAGTTTCATACTGGAGATGGAGGAGCATGAACCCCGCCCCTATATTTGAATTAGGCAAGTGTACACATGCTTTTAGACTTAACAATAAGGGCGGTATTATCATTACAATTGTAGAACCCTAAACCCGGATTTTGACATAAATATACCTATAAACAGTCAATTTGACTGACAAATCCCTCAAACTCTCTCCTTAATGTGACACCTCCCAGCAGAAAAGCCAAGTGTGGGAAAGAACAAACTAACAAAAGTAAAGAACGTGAGAAATGGCCCTTCAGTTACCATGCATAATCAAAGAAAGTGATACAAGCATATAATGGACGAGAGAAATACCTTTGCAAGAATATAACGAGGCCTCGTGATTATCCGCCTAACTATCTCCACCAGTGCTGAGCTTACCTTGAAATTGATCTCTAAACTCTCAGAAGGAGCTGGGTATTGTAAAGGAAAAATTTACTTTTTCTAAGTACAACATATTAGAAGCATAAAAAAGCGAAGGCAAACAAAATCAGGGCTAGGAATTAGCATTCATCATCGGATAATAAGAAAACTCACTTTTGCCTGTGATTAGCTCTCTACTGGTCATTATAAGAGTGTCCTTATTATTTCTAAGGTATACGTCTGCCAGTTCAGCTGCTCGATTGATTTCTTCCTCCCTTGTTTCTGATGACTCCATCGCAACTTTATTCACAGAAATCTACTTTTCAAGAAAGGAAGAATTAAAACGCTGCCACATATTTTCAGCAAAAGCATATTGAATACAGTATTCAGAATTACCTCTATAGTCTTCAAAACATGACCATATTGCAGTTTTAGCTCTTCAACCTGCAGTGAATTTTAGAAAAGTAGTGTGAAGGAAAGGCCAAGAAATATAGACAATTAACAATAAAAATATCTCTTGTTAAAAGTTTGACCTGCTTTGTTGTTTTTGGAACGTACGAACCCACGACAATAAGTCCACCATTTCTTTCTCTGTTTATTCCAATATCATTTGGCAAAATTGGAGATTTTTGGACGATTCCAACTCGAGCAGAAACGAAACTGGCAGCAGTACGGCATAAGAAGTGCTTTCCTTTTAGTTCTGCCTGCATTTTAGGGCAAAGAAAAAAAACAATTTTCATCTACTGGACTTGACAAAGATCATATCAACTGTAACAAGAATGCTACAAAACCTGTATCATTCCAGCGGCAAATACAGCCATGTCTCTTTCACTAGCTGCATTGACTATACATGTTGAACCCTGTTTATAGAGAAAATGCAATCAGGAGCACCATAGAACTAAGGTCAAGATTTCGTCGAGGAAGCAAAAAATCAAGCAGACATGAAGTTTCCCAATGCACAACGCAGTTTGTTGCACATAGTATGAGCCAAAATATACTCCTTCAGATTAATCTACGTAAACTCTAGAGTGACCTCGACTTGTTTGGATTTCTACTGCTGGAGATTTAGGGTTGTCAAGCAAGTTGAAGTATAGATCTTAAACTGTGGAACTTTAATTTCTCTTTTTCCTCTCCTGTGACCTCAATTCTATAATTCTTCTTTCCACTCACCTTTTTGTTATTGATACTTCTTTTCATATTATATACTATCACGAAAATCTGTTTCACATCCTCTATACGTTTCCAATTATCAAATGGATTTCGTGCTGCACCAAAAGAATGAAGAATGAGGTTTCACTCAACATTGGCAACTATCGACAAACTTCTACTATTAGACTCTGTGCACATCAGAGTAATGTTATGGAAGAGAACAAAAATGAAGCATAACGCTCACAGTTTGCGTATTTCTACAAAATCGAGCAAGGCCTTGGCTGTATTATGAGGGATTTGAGAAGGTATGTCCCTTACTCTGTAAGATAATCTTTCTACTTTTAAGACAAATCCAAGCAGTCCTCATGTGTATGAACCAAAACATGTATACAAATTACCAGATGCAGAATATTGTCACTCCAAACACAACACGCGAAAACTGAAATTTTAACATGACGTCGATTCTCTAAGCAACCTCCAAAATCATGTCAAGAGCTGTAATATTAAAGAATAGTATTTCCAAAGGAGGAAATAGCTGCTAACTATAAGCTAGGTGTGTTGGCGGCATACACAGTCAGATGGAGGCGGATGGATGCAAATGAATTAGCGGAGGTAATAAAATGATAAAAAACAATTAGGTAGCCACAGAGTTTAGTGGCGATGAGGCTTATGTACCTTCTGCAAATTACAGAGGTGTTCACAAACAGCATCTGGTCCACCTTTTCTTAAAAGCTGGATGGAGATAGATGAAACGCTGCTAGCAGGTATGCGGCCCTTTGTTTTTTCTTCTACCCACTAAAATATCAAATTAAAAAAATAGAATAACACCTAAATCAATTTAGTGGTCAAAAAGAAGATGATGTGTTTTACTTAGAAAAGACAAGGCTTGACCTCACGGAGGTTGGAAGATTTGTATCCAAAAGCGGCATCTTTAGCAAATTCAGTTTCACCTGCTGGTACAAGCCTATAGATAAGAAGGAAACATAATTAGTGATGACCGGCAAGTCCAAACGGCTAATACATGACACATTAGAAGAGAATACCTATCAGAATCTGCAACATAATGTATATCTCCAATGGTATAACGGCCTCCTTGGAGGAAAAAGGGCAAGATAATCCATGCGTCCATCTCACCCAGCACAGAAACAGCTGCATCTGCTTCCTAGGTGACATGAAAAGATATGTTGTAAAGTGTATCAGGAAAGGACACATAAGAAAATTTATGTAGGCTGTTCTATATACTTACCTCAGGGAAATGACCTCGTAAAGTTGAATCACCCCTCAGAACAACCGTATAGTCTGCTTTCTCCACCGACTTGGCAGCAGTATCAATGTTTCTGCAGATATCTGCTATCAATGCACTAGCCTGCACTAAGAAGTTTCAGTGCGTGATATCATAATCAATAAAACAAGTTAACTTGTCAACAGATGTTAGAATTTATAGAAAAAATCTTGGCAAATGGCTTCCTGGCCACTTAAACTTGCATCAGTTTGTAAAGCCGATATATGAACTCTTGGGTTTCCCATTTGAACACTTTTACTTGAGAAAATGGCTACTAATAAACACTTGCGATGATGCGTGTTGATCAGTTGGTGCTGACATGGATTTTATTTAATATATTGTATAGCCACATCATCCGTTCATTCACATTTTGTTGACACCTGGACGTTCAAGGTCCCACTTCTTTTTTTTTTTTAACAAATTAATTTTTTCTACACGTATCCCTTCCACTCCCTCAGAACCCGCCGGAAAAAACCTAACCGAACTAGGAATCAATTTGAAAAACTTTAGATTTTATCATCTGAAACGGATCTGGCGATTCTCTGTTTTCTATCCCATCCAATACCTTACACTTACATTGTTTATCATCTTCTCAGCAAGAAAATAGGCACCATTCGCAAAACCTTTTACCACAAATCAGAAAATAATTTCAGCACGACGTACATATATATAGGTGTAATCAACGGAGCACGACGTACAACAATTCAAAGCCAAGTCAACGACCGTGTGAAGCTCAACGTCGGAGGCAAGCTCTTTGAAACAACAGTATCAACACTTCGCTCTGGTGGACCCGATTCTCTCTTATCCGCCTTATCAAACCGGAATTCCGACGAACCAGAACAAATCAGAAAATAATTTCAGGGTACATATATATTGGAGTGTGATTGATAGTGAAAAATTGAAGAATAAACAAATATGACGGTTTAATATGGAGCTTTGGAGTGTGATTTATCAAAATTTTTGTTATGGGCTTAATTGAGAATAAAGGAGGAAGAAGAGAAATGGAGGGATAAGGGATTACAGGGGTGGCGACAATGAATGAAGAAAAGGAAGGGGCAGGGGTAAGGGTACGAGGAGGAATAGATAGGTGGATCTTTTTTTATTATTTATTTTTTATTAAATTTTATGTATTCACGCGCTTTATACCCGTGAGTAACACGCAATTGACCACATCAGCTTTAATATTGCCACATAAGCATAGTCAACGGTCAAAAGTGTTTATTACTATCCATTTTCTCAAGTAAAAGTGTTCAAATGGGAAACCCAAAAGTTCATATATCGGCTTTACAAACTGATGCAAGTTTAAGTGGCCAGGAAGCCATTTCGCCAAAAATCTTTGAGGGAGTTCGATGTACAGTCAAATTCTACTTCAACATAACTCTTTTACCTTCTCAGAAGTCAATGCTCGGGAATTGGTTAAAATGAAAAAGCATTTTGGCCTCTTTTTGAACTCTCCCACAAGTGACTCCACACTCCTGAAAAAATAAACAAGTTCACCACTCATAATAGTAATAAAGTTATTTAGAAGTTTTCATCTCTATAAGGTTTGAATACCAAAGTTTCATCACAGTGATAGTTCTTCCCAAGATCACTGATGAAGCAAGATAGAGAAGATAGAATGATGACTGAGGAAGCAAGATCTAGAAGAGAGAATGATGAGAAGCTAACAAAGTAGGGTAATTTCATTCTTGTCATCCTCCTATATTTGTGATTCAGTTTATTAAACGAGATAAATTTCATTTGTTTTTTGGGTTTTACACTTTTATGGACAATAGAATGAAGGATAAATGAACTGGGTAACCTGCACTTCTTGCAATTGCTATTAAAGTTAAAGATTCAATTACCTAGTTCCACAAACAGCTGGATTCTACTTTTCATTGGTTTGGTCAGTCATACCTGTAATAAACAAGTAAGGAAAGAAGAAGACAGGACGCTTTGAAACTCAATCTTCATATCTAGGACTAGCTGCACATTATCAGACATGAGCCGGATGTTAATCTCCTTTCTAAGTGAATAAATTTCTTCATTTCATTTAACTTATCTTTTCTCTCTTTCTCATTCGTCAGAAAGACCATCAGCCCTTTCCAAGCAGAACTCAGTTTCCAACCCCTTGGATCTTACTTTTTAGATTTTTACCATATTCATCCTATAATTTGAGCCAGAGACCCTTCTACTGTCCCCAGCTATGTTGCTCGGACTCTGAAAATATTGCCGGGTGCGTGTCGGATCCTCCAAAAGTAGTGTAATTTTGAAGGATCCGATACGGGTGCGGCAACACTTTGGAGAGTCCGTGCAACATAGGTCCCCAGTAACATAACATCCTTCAAGTTCCTAATAACTGAATGAGGGCAAGCTTGCACTTCGCCTCGCAATTCCAATTGAATCTATGATATGTTCACAGGATTTTCGTGTTGCTAAACTGCTTCAGTTATAATGATGCAGAAGATATCAAGACCGTAATCACTCTTTTCCCATCTGCAATAGATCTTAACCCACTTCACTGACTCGGTCATTAGCACATTGACGCAATTTATGTTCTAATTGTTCCAATCAAGCAGCATACAGTAGATCAGTTACGTGCAACTAGAAAAGGCACCAACCCCTGCCCTGGCCATCTTTTCAACATATAAGCAACAGCTCCGTGGATCTATTCCCCTGTTTTATGAATCTAGAGATAATTTGTTGTAAATGTAACTAAAAGCTTCTCAATTTTATAGAGGCATGTTACCATTCTGTCAGGACCTCAATATCATGAACGGTTTGAGTCCCAGTTGGATCATCATCCAGAACAATTAAAGTCTTCAAACTATTCTCTGTAAGTGTACGAATTTCACTGATGGGATCAGTTGGCCACTCTGGAGGAAGGGACTGCAGTACAGATTCTTTATTGAGAACAGGAAGTCTGCCTTCAACTTTGACTCCACTCAGTGTCTCATAGACCTGCAGAAATTTGAGAAAGAGTAGATGGTAACATTTAGCTGAACCATATTCCTGTCAAACAGTTTACGCCTTATCAAATAACTTTTCATGCTGCAGTATATTTAACAGAGGAAAGTTAAATTGTCTACCCAAGAAACTGAATGATTGATGAGCATGTTTTTCACAAATTCAAACCTAATTAAAATGAAATCTCTTATTATAAAGACAGCTGTTTGTACCTTCACTACAGCAGCATCATCCAATCTGCCCCATCCAGCAGCAGAACCTAATCCATGAGACATTGTAAAAAGTATTAAGACAGATTACAAAACATGAAAGAAGAGTGTTTCTGCTGTACAGCAGTGCAACTACATGCTCTAGCACTAATTAAGTCAAACATAGGTAAATTAGAAAAGGGAGTAATTTGTGTTGGTAAAATGGGTTTATGATGAGTCAAAGGTCCAAATTTTTATCTGGTTAAACCCATGGCTGAGATGGCACAGAACAGACAAATCTAAGCCAGAACTCTATTTGATTAATATAGACTGGCATACCGAGGACCACCTATTCAGCTGTTTGACCACATTTTCTAGTTCATGTTCATATACTACAAGCATTGGGCCCCTCAATCTCATGACATTGAAAAGACAAAGGAAAATATGACTGGGAGAATGTTTATTTTCATCCAATTTTTCACCCCCACC